CCCTCCCCAGGTGCTGTCCTCTTCCTCCTCCCCCTCCCTCTTGCCCGGCTGCCCTGCCCGCGACTGCGTGATGTTTTTGCCCTGCTCTCTTCCTTCCAGCTGATGCAGCAACAGGCCGCCATCATGGCCTCCGTGGCGCAAGGCGGCTACCTAAACCCCATGGCGGCCTTCGCAGCGGCCCAGATGCAGCAGATGGCTGCCCTCAACATGAATGGGCTGGCGGCCACCCCCATGACACCCACCTCAGGTAAGCGCTCGGGGGGTAGGGGGGCAAAGCGGGGGCGGCACTGACGCAGCCGAGCAAGCCGTGGCAACACGGGTAGTCCTCGACTTACAACGGTTCATTTAGTGACCAAAGTTTCACCCGTACTGGGGAGGGGAAACAACCCTCACTTAGGATGGTTTTTTTTCACACTTAACGACGGTTGCAACGTCATTTGGTGGGGAAGCCAGATTTGCTGAACGAACGTGTTACTCATTTAACAACGGTGATTTACTTACAGTTGGGGGGGGGCAAAGCTCACTTAACGCAACAGTCTCGCTTAGTGGTGGAATTTGTGGGCTCAATCATGGCTGTAAGTCGAGGACTTCCTGTATGCTCTCAAACCAAGGGACGCCATATATTTGACGCTCTGCCTTTCCTCTCCCGCCCTCCAGGTGGCAGCACGCCTCCAGGCATCACTGCACCAGCCGTGCCTAGCATCCCGTCCCCCATTGGGGTGAATGGTTTCACTGGTCTCCCGCCACAGGCCAATGGGCAACCTGCAGCAGAAGCCGTCTTTGCCAACGGCATCCATCCTTACCCAGGTAGGACAACGTTTTGGCCTTGGGACCTCTCGATTCTGACCTGATACTTTCGCTGGCTGGGGAATTCTGGGAGTTGAAGTCCACGCATCTCCGAAGAGGCAAAGCGGAGAAACACTGCAGTGGAAGCTAGATGGAGCTGAGCATTTACTGGCCAGATGCCCTTCCTGTTGCCTATCTGGAGTTCGCAGCAGATGCTTTCTTTTTATGCCCTAAGAGAGAAGGGTTTGCTGCTTTTATGGCCCTGGAATCCCTTAACTCAGGGTGGAGTCAGGGCGACTAGATGGAGCTGAGCATTTACTGGCCGGATGCCCTTCCAGACACCTACACAGAGTTCACAGCAGACGCTTCCTTCTTCTAAGAGAGAAATATTTGCTGCTACCTAGGATTGAACTCTCAACCTTCCAAGTGGGAAGCAAGTGCCTTCACCACTAGGCCACCATGCTGCTCATTACTTGGCTTCATTATTAGCAGATTAATCATCCCAGCTCTTGTTTATATTTACATGGATTTATTATGTGGATGTTTTTTATGGTTTCAATCATTTGAAATTATTTTAAAATTTTAGAACTTGTAAGCAGGGATGGGATTCTACCGGTTCCGTCCGCTTCTGTACAACCGGTTGCTCTGAAGAGCAGCAAACAGAGAGCAAACATAGAAACGGGTTCTATAGGTCTGTTGCTGTTTTGGCCCACCTGCCCGCCCGGGCTCTTACCTGACCTTTATTTCCTGCGTTTTCAAACGCAGCTGCTTTACGTGACACAGCTGCGGTTGAAAAAGCAGGAAAAAAAGGGCTTTTTCAACCGCTGCGTACTTGCACGCAGCGCTGCTCAGCTGTCCGGGCATCTCAGCAGGTTGTAAATTGCACTCGCAACCTGATGACCTCCAAGGTCTCTTCCAACTCTGTTAGTTTGTTATTCTGTCTAGGGTCTCCTGCTTGAGCAAGGGATTGGACTAGATCAGGGGTCACCAACCTTTTGGACCTCAAACCAAAATGGACCACCGAACTCATAATTTAAAATCCCTAGGCTGGACTAGAAGACCTCTGAGGTCCCTTCCAACTCTACGTTCCCTTTTTACAGCCCGAGTCAAAATCCTCGTCAAAGCAGCCAAGAACCCTTCGCCCCTAAGCGAAGAATGCCAGCTCAGTGAATTCTTGTGGTTATTGTGGTTATTGTTGTGTCTGAATGCCTAATTAATTGCAACAGTAAATGCACACTCTTTTAATCACTGCATCAGCTGTCTTAATCAATCTTCATAATACAGAATCGGTAGTATGGCACCCATGAATTTTAATCTACATAAATTGTGGGAAACCGCTCACAAGCTTGTTGTACCAAATGATATAATTATGGATATAGATTAGGCTTTGGGGAGAATGATTTAAATTGGATTTGGGAAGGAATTGACGAGGGGGAGCTCTCCGTTCTGTATTTATTTGTTTTAATCCTGACCTGGCGAAGCCTGTTCTTAAAATGACGGTCTCCACCCCACCCCGCCCCAGTTGTTGTGGCCTCTCCCAAAATTGTAGTGCTAAACAGAACGGAACAGAACAATGGAGTTGGAAGGGACCTTGGAGGTCTTCTAGTCCAACCCCCCCAGCTCAGGCAGGGAACCCTGCATTCCTCATTTAGCGGATTTGTTGGGATCACGGCCAGAAAAATAGAAGTTTAAAGAGTGTGCGAAGTAGTGCAGTAGAGAGATTCTAGGAAGGGCAGAAATAAGTTTGATGACTTCTTGGATTTTTATTTAGTTTTGTATATTAACTTTGCTCTGTATAAAATAAAAACGATATATATGAAGAAAAGGAAGTTTTCCAAATTATAAGTGGAAGTTGGGTTCCACTTGGGATGAGTTCCATTGCTAAGACAGAAAAGTTTGGAGACTTTGGACTGAGGGAGATCTCATGAAAGAAAATTGAAGTGGAACTTGGTCCACAAGAGTAGAAGGGAATGGGATGGGATGGAAAATAATGGAAGCGAGGGAATCAATAGGATAGGATAAGATAGAACACAACAGAACAGAAAATATGGAATGGAAGCGAAGGGAAAAGAATGAATAGAATAGAATAGAATAGAATAGAATAGAATAGAATAGAATAGAATAGAATAGAATAGAAAATATGGAATGAAATGGAATGGTATTGAATGGAATGGAATGGAGAGTGGAGTAGAATGGAATGGAATGGAACGGAACGGAATGAAATAGAGTAGAGTAGAGTAGAGTAGAGTAGAGTAGAGTAGAGTAGAGTA